GGAGAAAAGCTCAATCTGCTGGAATCGGACGTGTGGACTACTGGTGATAAAAATGTAAGGTTAAACAATGGAATGAAGAGTAAGATGTATAACAATGAAGGGGATGATGATGAAGCATGGTAATAATAATGATGATTTTTCTTGTAATGATCAGGGTGATTATTATGCGATGACAATGTGATTCTGATAATTATGATGATATAATGATGTTGTTGGCAGTGATGGTGATAATGGACATTTTATAAATAATATTCTTGATCGATTGAAATCGAATTTTCTAAATGTAGAGTTGATGTTTAATCTATTGATCATTCAGGAAATAGATCTACTCTTATTATTATTTTATCAGATAAGCGTATCATGGCAGGGTCATTTTGTGAACCAGCTACATATAGACGAAAAATTATTACTCGCCATTGAACCAGATAATAGCGTCATTAATGAAGATTATGATTCTGAGGCTGCTCCAGCTGGTCGCCCCCTATCGGCCATTGATAATCGCGATGGAATTGTTAAGTTTGAAGTTGGACTCGGTAATGATAGTGTAGGCGGAGCAACATTTCCCTCGTTTCAGCCCAATTGGATAGCTTTACAGAGTGATCTGGTATCTTGATCAAAATACATTACTATATTATGAAATAGTATATTTTAATTATGTTAAGTATTTTATTTGAAATTGTGTGCTAAGTAACGAAATGACAAAAATGAGCAATAGTAAAATTTAGAGGTAACAGATAAAGTATCTTTCCATTTTTCAGGGCGAAATGTTCGTTGATCAATTAGATAATGCAGAGGACGCCGAAACTTATGGGTTTTGGGTTCGGGCGACTGATGTAGTTGGAAACACAAAGACAGATTTTGTATCAATCCACATTGATTTTACGCCACCCCAAATTGATGAATTTGCAGCGAGGAATGGCATGTAAGTAAAATATTATGGTTTAAACATGGAGGGGAAAAAATAATTGTAATCAATTTATATTCATGTGAACCTTACTTAACACTGAATATTTTGTGAATATAGTGCACGCGTGACTGCGTACGATCGACAAAGTGGAATCATGAGTGTTCGTTGGCAGATGATTTCCAAAAAAGATGAAAACATTTTATCAGAAGGCTACGAAACTGATTTAATAGTCGTAAGTAAACCATTTAATCAAGACTCACTTTTAATGGAGAATGAATGAATCATTGTGGTTAAATACAGCTGAAAATGGAATATTCTGTCGTCACACATTGTTGCGGACAAACATGTGCCAAGTTGGGAAATGCTATTGGCGTGGTTGGTTACGTTTACTGAATGCAGAAAATTTTAGCTTTATTTCTAAATGTTATCATTTTCAGTTTAGAAAAGCAAATTCAACTGGTGAATGTTGGGATTACTATATCAAACACATGTTTTATGTTTTATTTGATTTGGGGATATTTCGTACGCACAGAATGTTACTAATCATGACTAATTTATTTCCGAATTTACTCTACGTTTAACCGACATTAAAGGGAAAATTGATTCAATTCCAAAACTTAAATACTATATTACGTTTAAAAACAACCTACCTCAATGTTGATACCTATTTATTACACCTTAATTTGAAATATAGACGGATTCTGACATAACTTCGTCTAGGTATCCTCAAACTTGAAATTGAAACTGGTAAATGGATCAAATCAGATTGAAATAATAGAAAAAGCAAATGTTGCTCATTTAATTTAGATCAAAATGAATACCATTTTACATTGATTTGCCCATTTTATTGAAACATTAGAAATACTTTCTACTGCATATTAGTTCAAGTCCGTCTATATTATCAAATTCAGTCTTTTAATATCCACCAGTGCTCCCAATATTATTAATGATTTATCTAAATGTTTATATTTATCATTTAAACGTACAAACGATTATATTGCTTTTTAATTTGATGTCAACCTATATTTATATGGGCCAGAGGCCATTGTGTAAAAAGAACAAATAAGTGTCCTTTGTCCTTGTGCCAAGGAACGAACGAACAGACAGTCTACAATCACCTCAGACTTACCCCATTTGGGGCAAGGTTTTAAAAATTGAAAGAATATGACAATTTTAAAGATATGACTTCTCTAGATTTCCTGAAATGGCAATCCTATGTACAAAATATCAATGTTTTCATTATGTACAAAACTCCGAAAACCATAACAGCTTTTGATCAATTCAAGCAATCTAAAATATTATGCTTAACACGCCAACAATAGAAGTAAGCATCGAGCTGCTATATGGGAGCTGTTTTAAGGGATAAATTATTTGATGTTAGGTCTAGTTGTATTTTCTGTGTAATTAAGGTAAACAAAAACGAATAAGCCTATCGGTCGAGTTTCTTGCATTATAATATGAATCATTAGAAGGCACTGTTTATAATATTCCCACAATTAAGTAAATTCCTATGAACTTCAACTTCAGGAGAGCAAGGGGCATGTATACTCAACGATAGTCAGATAAATGATAAGAAGCGCACTCATATAAGATCTATTTTTGGTATCCCTTAATCACTATATTATTTTCCAAATTTCTGCGTAGAGGGTTTCTTTTGAAACTTGCGGCCCGGTTCTGAATACCTAGAAAGCCACAAATCTGAATCAAAGAACACAGAACATTTGTTTTATATACGCCTTTTATCAGGTCTATTTTGAAACAACTGCAACGTCTCGCAACTTTTCAATGAGGACTTCCAGCGGCCTAACCTGAGCAACTGGCTAGTGGATCACTGAGCAGTGGATGGCGCCGCTAGATCTTTGTTATAGCAGCACCAGAAAACAGATACGATCTTTTGCTTATTATTGTATATAAACATTGAAACAGATTGTTAATATCAACATTTCGTTTTTCTTCAGTTTTTTAAATATCTGGGGCGGATGGAGGATTTGGCTGTAGGCAGTAGCCCTACGTGCAAAAATTGAAGAAATAATACCTGTAGATGGCCGGAAATGACACATTTATAATAGTAAAATTCATCATCATCATATCACTATATCATTATATAGTCAAAATAAAGCGCCAACAAATTTTCATATTTTTTTTTTCTCATGACATTTAATCAGCTATTTCCGTGATGTACGGTACCATAGACAATGTGTGATGTACGGTACCATAGAAAATACAACTTAAAAACATTTCTTTGATGTATTTACTTTACCTACTTCAAAACTTGAGTCCACACGCATCTCAGCCACAGTTGTGGCTGAGTTGGTAAAATTTGGGAAAATTCTACCTCTAGATTGCCGGATATGACACTCTTACATGTAAAATTCATTATTATCGATATAAAAATCACTGTGATGTACTATAGAAACTAAAACTTTATTGTCTTTGATGTATTTACTTTGCGTTCATGTGCCGAAAACCAATTTTATCTTTGCACGCTTTTTGTCATACTTCTCAAATTATAATAAAGGCAAGCGAGCTCGAATCGTGTATGATAGATAATTCAGATGTTTGTGGGCAGAGTATACCGGTATCTTGCTATAAAATAAAATGTACTCTGGCTGTATGCCTACCGCGCTCTTTCGTTAAAAACCTGAGTCATTTATGCATTTATTTCCAGGCATATCTTCTTGATTCCCGAAAAGTGAGAGGGAACCAAGCCTTTCTCATGTGGGGGAGGGGACGTGTTTTCCTTCCCCAGTGATCTGCGCTCATGGGTCCGTGAAGATGGGTACCTTAAAAATCTTACCAATGATTCATTACAATATAATACAACAATTATTTTTCTTAATAAAATTTAGGGGGGTGCAACCGCACTCTCCTCCTGCATCCGCCCAGAATATTGTGTGTTCGTTGGTAATTTAGTCTTATCGTTTAATTAATCCATGATGGTAATTACGTACCACGAAATGTTAGGCCTCTGGATGTCTCCCAGTGGTAGTTGCCAGGTTCTCGGAAATTAAATTTTCATTTAAATGGCGTTTAGGTTGAGAAGAATGATTTCATGATAATTCCTAACAGAGAACTTGCACTAAAAACAGTAGACATACCTTATCTGGGAGGCCGCTATCCATTCGTATTACTTTTCCATTAACAAAATGTGTTTGCATAATACTTCATTACCAATATGAATTTGATGGAACAATAAATCAATTATAATTATTAATAATATAATCTTTTTTAGACTGGCGACTGTGTTCCTACCGATTGTTATTGTATACTTGTCAATAAGTTTTGTTACAAGTTGCAATTAGACATAACCCCGACACTTGATCAAAGTGATCAAGAATTGGGTACTACTGCAACTTTAAGGGTGACATTAAAAAACAATGCTTTACTAAACATCTCGCAGGATATAGAGGTACGTATGACTATGAAATTGGAAAATAAAAGTTAAAATAATAAAATTATATAAAATGATTTTCTACAATCATCAATATAATTATACAAATTGCAGGTCCAGGCCTTATTCATTTTTCAAAGAAGACAGTAAATCAGCAAAAACTGTTTTGACATTTATTTAATTAGATAACTTAATACTTAATAATATCGTAGTTTATATTTAAAAAAATATATTTATACACTATTTTCAACTAGGTTGCTGTAGCCTCTTTCAGTGGTACCAACGATGCTCAGGAAACAAAAACAGAAGACGACGGTTTGGGGACTGGAGTATTAATCGGCATTATAGCAGCGGTTGTAGTGTTTGTGGTTCTATGGTTGATACTTGTCGCACTGGTAATGCAAAAGCGAAATAGGCGTGATGTAAGTTTATCATAACAGTTCATAAATGTGAAGTTCAACGATTTTCATTTTAAATCATCAGTTTAGAAAAATTTCATGTAATCGATTTGTAACTATATTTGCTTATTTTTAATATTTAATTACACGATTATCAATTCTGTTTTTAAAAAATATGTAAGCACAAATAATATTAATAAATTATTAGAAAACTTTGAAAGCAATGTCAATATCCAATATTGAGTTATTTGGAGACAATTTTTCCAATCAGTAAGCGAAACATTAAAAAAGGCAAATCCTATGCCTATCTGTTATATAGTCCAGGTGGAATGTTAAGTAGTTATGACGCTTGGCTATCATACTAATAAAAAAAAAATCCCGACAAAAAAGGCTCTAAATTCACTCAGCATTATATTAGTACCTGGATGAAAATAATTTGGGAGGTTAATAAGCCAGGTGGAACGAACTGGCCACCCTCATACACAATATTTTCAAACGTTTATTATTTTTATTTATATTATTATTTATTTAAAACCGAATTTTAAACAATTTTTATAAATATTGCAGTTATGTTTCATTAATATTTTTACTTTAATGATAACATTACTTTAATAATAATAATTAATATTTATGATTGTAACTACCTTTAATCTATTTATAGGCCTACCAATGTTTTTATCATTATAGCTATGCATTATTTTCTTACATTTCAGCCTGAAACGTTTGGAGATGACATTGGACATCAAAACCCATGCTACACCAATGTAAGGCAACGATGAAACAGCATGTTTACATAAATTATTATTTTCTTTTGGTGAAAAAATAAAACACTTTCGCTTTATATTCTTTGATACAAATTTTACCCTTTAGGAGGAAACTGTTGATATTTACACAGCTCCATATCACCCTCCGCTTGCATATACACCAACGTCTAGGCCACCACCGGTGACCGAGAAACCCAAGAAGAAAGAGATAATGGAAGACGAGTATGCTTCTCCATTTGCACTAACAGTTTCACCAGGTACCGTAGCCATTATGAGAATAATTTCCTACTGCAAATAACAGACTTATAACAGATTAACAAATAATATGTAATTACGTATGAAATATCTCCCCTATATTTGAATATATTGCATATAATATACACATTATTCAACTTTTTTTTATCAGTTGTATTTTAGTTGTAATTGATTTTTGTCTTTATTGTCAGAGGAAAACAAATTCCCAATTGTTTTATTGAACAATAAATTTTATTTAATTGAAGTCATCAGTTGATAAACCAATAATTTAGTAGACTTATCTGCTACGTTGCATCTATGTTCTCAGTAGCCTCGATCACACGAATGACGTAATGGTGTAGTGTCGTCATCCATCATGCCTCTGTGACTAGTAGTACCATCTATCTTCTTGTTATCAGCTATTAGCTGGTTCCCTCCCCTTGCGGATATTTGGGAAGTAAGTAGTCGTACTGAAATGTGGCTGAATTCATGTCAACAAGAAGATAGATGGATGACGACACTACACCTTTTGCGTGATCACAGCTTCTGAAACAGGAGCTGAAACGTAGCAAGTCAACAAAATTGTTGGTTCCTTCAGAGAAAATTTCCATTAATTTTTTTCTGAAACAAGATGAATTCTTTGAGAATAAATGTAATGTGATGTTATGTTACCTTATTTTATTATATATGATAAAATGATGGTAGGCAGTGCTCGAATATATACATAGCAAAATACTGAAAAATAACAATACAATGTAATACTGTATATAATCCAAACAAATATATGGTGGGTTGTGGAAAATATTGGAATTCCAATACCTTTTCTACAAACTCTACCAAAATTTGGTAAAGGGTTGGTTTACTGTATTTACTTATTATGAGACGGTATTCTAAACTAAAATGCAGTAAATAATATCGTACTCTATATAATTTGCGAAAGAAGTTGAATATTAATGTTAATAAGAACTAAAAATTTGTTTTATTATTAAACCATCAGTTTATTTGTAGATAATGTAATTCTTCGACCTGCACCTAATTTTAAAAGTTTAAATAGGCCTATATTGTAATGCTTAAGTTTTAAAGTTATATAATAGGTTATAATGCATGTAATTAAATGCTTTATTGAGATTTATTTGTATGTTATGTTATACCGATTTCGAGGCTGTCTCTTATTTTTATTATTATTATTATTATTATTATTATTATTATTATTATTATTATTATTATTATCATCCTCATATCAGTATAGCGTTATAATTAATAATGTTATTATTACCCGCATATTTGTTGCAGATTATTCACAGGAACCTAGGAGCGAGAAATATTTTGGTTGGTGACAACAAGGTTTGCAAGATTACGGACTTTGGAAGAGCAGTTGTAGCAGACATCGATGGTACATTTGTGGAGACACAAGAGGTAGACCAAATACAGACCAGAAACACAGATGTGTATAAGAGATAAAGTTGATACAGAACACACGTTAAGTTTCACTTATTATTACATTTATTCGGAGAATATCGTAATGTAAAATTAATTGATTAGGCCTTCTCGGATTTGTGGCTTGGATGGCGTCTAACTGTTATTCTAACTTACTTTAGATGACAGTAAAGTAGGAGAAAAAGAAACATTGTTGCACAAGATTAAGATGATCAGAATGTTGCCAAACCATGAGAACATTGTCCGTTTACTCGGCTTCACAGGAATCAGGGGTACGTACGCTATCATATTCAAAGGATCACTGTTTTATTATTATTAATAATAATAATAATAATAATAATAATAATAATAATAATAATAATAATAATAAAAATAATAATAATAAAAATGATAAACATAATAAAAATAATAAAAATAATAAATGATAACCTAAAACTATCCCAGACCCCCCATAAACAATGAGATCATCGCTACCGCACCATTTTCCAATTTAGAATTACTTTATTATTATCAAACAAATAATAATTCAATAACATAATTTACTGTTGTATTATCGTTGATATGTTTTATTTTATTTTGTGTAACATTTCCTTATATTGTGTTTTTGTGACTAGATCCAGTTGCCATGGCAATGGAGTTTGCACCGAATGCAGATCTGTCGAAATATCTACAACAATCCCGCCATTCGCTGTACGACAAACGTATTGACCAACTATCGTCTGCTCAGTTGTGCATATATGCACAGCAGGTGTGTTCCGGAATGCAACATATCCAGCGGCACAAGGTAACATTATAGACTTATAATACAAACACTTTTTTCTCTAGGCTTTTTATAACTCAAGAATAAAACATAGAAAAAAAGCATAAAACAAATACAAAAGTCAAAGACAGTTAAAGCATGGAGGGACTAGTTTAAAAAATCCTCTGTAATCAAAGTAAACTTAACCCAATTAATAAAAGCATTACCGTAAAATTTAAAACTGAAAATCTTGATAATTTCTTTTAATAACTTTGTTTCTCTTGAATTAAAAAAAAAAAACTTTACCAAAAGGCACGTTATGCCACCTCACCAGTAATCATTATTATTTGGGTAGACTCGGACAGAGCATCCCTTCCCTTTGGAAATAGTACATGCTTAGGTCCATCCTATGTTACGTTGTCTTAGCCTGCATTATACGTTTATCTGTTTCAATTGCTTTTCTTTGTGTATATCTGCACCGTCATTGAGACTAGCGTCACATTTAAATGTAAACAAAAATTGTGAGTTTTACATTTTAAAGCAGAAGTATTGTTATCTTTCATCATTATCTCCATTGTCATAATTATCAACATTATCATCATAATATTACTCCTAATATTACAATACTGGGCCATAAGCCTCGCCTATTGTTGTTGGTGTTATTATTATTATTATTATTATTATTATTATTATTATTATTATTATTATTATTATTATTATTATTATTATCATTATTATCATTATTATTATCATTATTATTATCATTATTATTATCATTATTATTATTATTATTATTATTATTTTTATTATTATTATTATTATAAGATAAGATAAGATAAGATAAGATTTTCTTTATTGTCACGTTTACAATGAAGTATACATGAAATTTTTCCTGTTGACACTTGAAATCTTAACTACTAGATAAAAACATACATAAGGCGAAATAAAAAATAAATAAATTACGTTATCACAAAACCATTTTACATATATACAGGTCGTTCAAGCAAATAAATAGGGGTTATCTTTTAAATTTAGAGTTGTGTAAGTGGATGGAATTATGCACAAATGATTTTCTGTATCTATTTGTTTTAAATTTCATAGGAACTAGTTAGCCAGATCTACAGATAATGAGTTCCTTATGTAGCGGATGGAAGTGGTCTTCTAGAATTTTCTTTAAATGAGTAACTCTCTCTCATAGACATCTTCAACCTTATTTACATCATTTTCAATCAACTTGCGGGCATTTTTTGTGATTCGATCAATTTTCATCTTATTGTACTCAGTAAGGCTGTTGTACCATGCTACACATCCATAAGATAGCACACTTAAAATTGTACTATGATAGAATAGTGATAATATTTCATTACACACATTGAACGACTTTAATTTTCCTAGCATATACATACGTTGACTAGCTTTCTTTACAATATTTAATGTATTTGCATTCCAGTTCATGTCTTTATCTATAACAATTCCTAAATATTTATGTTCATTAACCGTTTCAATTTCTTTATCATTAACTTTTATTTGTTCGACCATTTCTTTCTTTCTTCTGAAGTCGAACACTATTTCTTTAGTCTTATCTGCATTTAAAATTAAACAGTTATCTTTACACCATCTTTCAAACTTACTGATAATATTTTTATATTCGTCTTCACATCCATTCAAAATCAACCCCGTGATAACTGAATCATCTGCATATTTGATTAAGTTACAATTACCATTAACACGAAAATCATTGGTATATATGGAAAAAAGTATGGGCGATAAAACACATCCCTGGGGGACACTGGTATTTGTGAACAGCATGTTTGAAAACAGCTTTCCTAATCTAACCATTTGAGGTCTGTTTGTGATGAACTCTCCAATCCATAGGATAAGGTGGGGTTGATATTTAGAGTTGAGAGTTTTTTTAGAAGGATGTGAGGTTGAATTGTGTTAAAAGCTGAAGAAAAGTCGAAGAATGTAGAACGGGCATAGGATTTCGATTTTTCAAGATGAGTGTAGATACCATAGAGAAGTATAGCATCACTAGCCCCTTTCTTGTTCCTATAAGCAAATTGGTAGCAGTCTAGTTTGTTGTTACATTCTTTTAACAGGGCATGTTTTACAATAGACTCCAGGCACTTCATTGGTATTGAGGTCAGGGCAATATGCCTGTAATCATTATTTATACTGGGTTTGTTTTTTAGGTAGTGGCGTTATAAAGGATGTTTTCCATAAAATAGGTACCGTGTCCGATTCGAGGGACCATTTATATAACCTAAAAAATATATCGCACAGTTCATTTGCACACAACTTAATTAATTTAGCTGATAGCTTATCAGGTCCTGTCGCTTTACAAGTTTTTACATTTTTTAGACAATTTCTAACAGTTCTAGCATCAAAATCTATATTAAAATCACACAATTTACTTTGAACGTTCCTTACAGTATCATTCAGTTCATCTTTAAAACAGTCAGAATCAAATCTGACGAAGAAAGTATTCATATTATTTAAGTCTAAGTTAGAGTTCATCTTAAGTGTTTGATTGCCGATTCCTGTAACTGCTTTCAGGCCACTCCATACTCCTTTGGTGTTAGGTTCCTTGAATTTCTCTTCTACCTTCTCTCCATATTTTCTTTTAAGTTCTTTAGTTTGTTCTTTAATTGTAGTACAGTGTGTGTTTATTTTAATTAAAAATGGTGAAAAATAATGGGTAACCCCCACAAAAGATAAAAAAAAAAAAAAGTGGTGACATGGTCAGATAATTATGGTCATAAATAGGTCATTTAAGATTAATATTGGATAGCATCTTAATAATACATCTTCTCAGATTGTTATTAAATAATCAGAACAGTGGCAAGATTCTATGAAATACATTATATATGTATATAAGTATACAGACTTTGCTATATATAAATGAAAATACTTTGCTGTGTAGTAGTATATAAATACAGTACTAGTTAAAAGATAGAATAATAATAATAATAATAATGTTGTAATATATAAATATGTATCTCGACCACAAGTCTCTGTGGTTGAGCTGGTAAGACCTTCGCACGTTAAGAAAAAGGTGCTGAGTTCAAGTCCTGGTGTGGAGGCAAGGTTTCCTTTCATTCTGATCAGATTTTCCTCTTC